GGGGGGGGGGGGGGGGGGGGTTGTGCACCAGATTATAAGCCTGGACAGAGACACTAGGTTTGCACGTGCTGCATGTAACTTTGTAATAATGCTGTCATTACATCATAATTACTTTGGCCTATAAGCAATGTTTAGGTATAAATCAAAATTAGTCAAAGTTGCTGGTCAGCCACTTTATTTTTTGTTTTAATTTCTTATTTTTTGTGGGTTATAAGGTAGAAATGGGGACAACTGGTTTAGAATAGCTGAAATATCTTTACACTTTTAAGCAAATAATGACAAATGAGCTGCTTTCCTTATGCAGCTTTTACATTTTTACTTCAATTTTATCATCTTTTCGCACATCATAGCAGATACTGTTATGCACTGAGAAACCAGTCTTTACTTTTTTATTTACATTTTATATAAGAAATGACAAAGTTATCTAAAAACAACCAGTATACTAATAATACATTTTGCTATCATTTGGTTTGAAGCTTACTATTATGAGCTAAATTTGGTTCCAAATTTACAGAATTCACTTCTTTTTCAAAGGATTTGTGCCAGATTATACTGTAGAGAAGTTCGTAAGGCAACCATAAATGTATTGTAATACTACCATCTTGTGGACATCATAGTGCAATTGAGAAACTATAGGAGGTTACAGAAATTATTTTTAATAACCGTTTGAATATTTTTTTCCTTGGGATCATTTCTTTTAAACTGCTTAAAATATAATTGTCACATATGTATACTAAAATGATTTCAGTAAAGGCCTTGTGAATGACTTCATGCTAATTGTTTCAAACAAAAGGTATTTTTTGTATTACAGTTCTGTCATCTCAACATTATTTTTTATTCTTTTTTTTTTACTTAAACCCACATAGCAGACAGGTATGTGTGGGCCAGATCTGGTGTCAAGCTGGCAGTGCTGGCATGGAAAGTGGTTGGTCAGCAGGATGAGGGCCAGGTCTGGCAATGATGACACTGTTTTTAAGAAGGCATGTCACTACTGGTCCAGTTGTGGTTTGATTAAATGTGGTGCTGGCYCATKTATGCACCACCTCTGGCAAACCACATCTGGGCCACTAAAAGGCTGTCATTCTTTGCTGAATCTGGGCTGAGTATTAGTTCATTGTGTGGGCCAGAACTGGGCCAAACAAATTTTGCTATGTGGGAAATGTTTAATTGTTGAAATGAAGGGTCGGGACATACAGTATAGGCCATATCAACTGGTACATGTTTAAARATCAGTGTACAATAGTTAATCAGGGGTGTGTGGTGGGGTAGAGGTTACAGAAGGCAACCAGTTCAAATGACTGGTACATCAAAATTTGGGTGGGAGAGGTGAAGTCATGATTTGAACATCTTTTTTCTGATCAACAATCAGTCTGTAAGATACTGATATGTGATGCACTTTGCATACAATTGTGTCTAAATGCAACCAACATAACATTAACATTCACTGTTCAAAGTGTCATTAAATACATGAGAAGATTTCTCCCAAAATTTATTTCATTATAGCTCTCAATATTTTAGATGATTTGCAGATAAAATGTGTGGTTAAAGCTCCAAAAATAATTTGAAAACCCATCAACTCTACTTATTGTCTTTGAAGAAAACAACTAAATAAGCTTTTACTTTCGAGTAGTAAAAAAACAGTGATTAAAACATGTATGAGCATAAATATTTGCAGTGTTTGTAGAGTTCATGCCCTCCCCCACACTCTAAAAAAGAAATGTTGGATTTACTTAACCATGTYATGTTACCTGGTCTGAGTTGAGTAAATTCAAAGCAACATWCTCACGTTCTTTGGTTATAGAACTGGTGTGTTGCTTTGAATTTACTCAACTCAGTTAAGTGGAACCAGGTAACACAATATGGTTAAGTAAATCCAACATTTCATTTTTTACAGTGCAGCTATGATGAAACTGTTCATGCCAACACTTATAAAATGACCAGTCAGGAAATATGAAAACAGTGTCTTAAGGAGCACATTGAGTTATGGGTGTATTTCATCAATCATCTCTGTCTATGTATGTCTTTTCAATTTTGTTCTATTTTTTTGCTGTCTTTTCACCTTCTGTTGATTTGTCATCTTGTAAACTGAGAAGAAATTTTCATCTTAATAGTATGCACAAACCTGGTGATGTCATTTTAGGTGGACTTTTTGAAGTTCACTACACCTCTGTCTTCTCTGAACTAACGTTTACTTCGGAACCAAACAAACACRTCTGCCATGGGTAAGTGACACACTTGTGTATGGATAACTGATCACAGCGTGTTTTTACAGTGTGACAAGTTTTAGTGTTTAATTGTCTAATTTCATGTTCAAGCTTTGATCCACCAGGCTTCAGACATGCCATGACTATGGCGTTTGCTATTGAGGAGATCAACAAAAACCCACATCTGCTGCCTAACGTGACCCTGGGATATAGTCTTCATGATAACTGTGCCACTTTAGTAATTGGATTTAGTGCTGCATTGTCATTGGCCAGCGGTCAAGAGGAAGAGTTCCTTCTTCAGAATACATGCCTCGGCAGCCCTCCAGTCCTGGGGATTGTGGGTGATTCCTTCTCGACATTTTCTATTGCCTCCTCTGATGTATTAGGTTTATTCGGACTGCCCATTGTAAGTGGCCTCTCTATTTTAGGTCTACAGCAGAAAATGTACAATATATTTTACACTTTAATGAAGATCTTTGCTTGTCTTTATAGGTCAGTTACTTTGCAACATGTTCCTGCCTGACCGATCGCCAAAGGTTTCCATCTTTCTTCAGAACAATCCCAAACGATGCTTTCCAGGCGAGATTTCTGTTTTTGTTTTTGTTTTGTTTTTTTGTTGTTTTTTTTTAGTTTAACTGAAAAGTACATGTCTGTAAAATTCTATTAGCCAAAATGTAATTAACAAATTGACGATCACAAGCTGCCTGGATTCAATAGAGTAATGTGTGGAAAATGTGTTATTAAAAAAACTTTCAAAAAATGGATCTTTGATTTTGTTTTCTCTGATCTGAATCAACTTAGGTGCATGCATTGATACAGATTTTAACACACTTTGGTTGGACATGGGCAGGACTGCTGGTCAGTAATGATGACTATGGACTTCATGTCGCCCAATATTTTCAATCTGTGCTAACTCAGTATGGATTAGGTTGTCTTGCATATTTAGAAATTTTGCCTTGGGGTGAAAATCCACTTGAACTAAAAAGAATTGTGGAAGTGATAAAGAAATCTACTGCTCGTGTCCTAATTGTATTTGCACATCAGATCCATATGATCCAACTGGTGGAAGAGGTACTGTATCTACCTATCCTACTGTATTTCATCCTATTTTATTCCGTTGACATGTTACTGTTATTATGGTTTTCAAGTACTATCCCAACTAAACTTATTAATTCAAATGTTCAGGTGGTAAAACAGAATGTAACAGGTTTGCAGTGGTTGGCAAGTGAAGCCTGGACAACAGCAGCCATCCTCCAAACACCCCGTCTCATGCCATATTTGGGAGGCACGCTGGGCATTGCAATCCGTCGAGGAGAAATACCAGGACTTGGAGATTTTTTCTTAAAAACACATCCTGGTGACAATAGCAACAATAAAAACAGCATGGTGAGATGGCAACAGTGAAGAAAATGTGTTGAAAATATTGTCCTTGTTCTTATTTATTTAAAAAATGATTTTCAGGTAAGGATGTTTTGGGAACATRCATTTCAGTGTAGATTTCCTCCACCACCAGCTGGTTGGGGGGAAGCCGGTGGAGCTTTATGCACAGGTGAAGAACATTTARAGGCTGGAGAGACAGAGTTTTTGGATGTTTCTAACCTCAGGCCTGAGTACAATATTTACAAGGCTGTGTATGCGCTGGCTCATGCTCTTCATAACATGCTGCAGTGTGAGCCAGGCAGAGGGCCTTTCAGCGGGCACAGCTGTGCCACTTTGCAAACACTGGAGCCTTGGCAGGTATAACATCAGTTTACACACAGCAAAAACTTGCTCATACTGTATATTTTTTCCAGTATCTGTTCGTCATGAGGGTTTACTAAAAAATATTGTAGATCACAATAACTGGCCTTGATTTCTACTTAAAGGGTTTTACATCTAAACAAAGAACAAGAAATTTGCATTTTTGCCTGTTTGATTATTAATCTGTTGCTTACATTTGCAGATTCTGTATTACTTAAAAAAGGTCAAMTTTACAATTTCATTTGGTGATCAAGTCTCATTTGATGAAAATGGTGATGCATTGCCAATATATGATATCATGAACTGGTTATGGCTCCCCGATGGAGGAGTCAAAGTTCAAAATGTGGGTGTTGTTAAAAAGACAACTTTCAGCGGTGAAGAACTGACACTTKATGAGCACAAAATCTTCTGGAACTTTGACAATAATCAGGTTTCTTCTATTTGTTTATGTTAAAACAAATGTTGTTCTGTGTGACTCCAAAAAGTTGTGCTGAAGATAAAATAAGAAAAGAATCCCTATGTCTGCAGCCACCTCGGTCAGTGTGCAGTGAGAGCTGTCCCCCAGGGACTCGAATGGCCAGAAAGAAAGGACTACCTGTCTGCTGTTACGATTGCGTCCGATGTTCTGAAGGAAAGTTCAGCAACAAAACAGGTTGGTATTGGAGAGGCCTGTGTATTTTATAACTAAACGTTCCCATTTTTGAAGCACAAGAGAATCAAAAGAAATGATCATTAATGGGTCTTTCCCAATCAGTGGCTACTTCCTCGCTCTACTCCCTACACACTACACTCGCTGTGAAGAACCCTCACAGCTGAACCGAGTCCCCTTGATGGCGCTGTAAGGTACAATTATATACCCTCCGCTGTTGAGACGGGCTCTCCTCACACTACCAGAACAGGAAGCTGTCGACACCATGGTAACAGTCCGCTGGAGAACAAAAGCCGTYAGATRGTTWAGAAGACGCTTTTTGTCAATAGACCCTCGAAAATATTTAATTAGGCCCACATTTTAGAGAGTTTTCAGACATGACTGTATTTGTAACAAATAGACTGTGATAACTTGTCAAAACGGTTGTACTTTTAACATTTTTTAATCATTTATTTACTTTTTTCTTTTTTTTCTTCTTCTTTTTAATATGGACCAGGGTTCTGCAACTTTAAAGTTTGAATTAAATTGAACATGATTTATATAGCCTTTATGAAATTATATTTGTTGGTTAGGTGTTTACTTTGTAAATATGTGTGCAAAGCATATGCAGAATAGGGTTGGGCAATATTGGCAAAAAAATTTTTTTATCACAATTAATTGTGGTATTTAGCCGATAACGATTAATTTGAAAATTAATCCTCTGGAGTCTCTGGACACCCTTGTGTCCCAGTCAGATGACCAGTTTTAATGGGAAAGGCTAGCTCTTTGTAAAAACCTGTTCCAAATTGTGTCAAAATTACAGACTTCAGGCTATACATCAAATTTTAAATTGTGCTGATAGATAAATAAATTACACAACGTTTTTTAATGTTTGTCATATTTGAAGTGGAGAGGAGCACCGCACTGACTCTGCGTGGTGGCCTTAATCGTATTAATCATCAAGTGACAAAAAATAATCGATTAATGCTTTTCTGACGATTAATTGCACACAATACGATTATGCCCAACCCTAAAGCAGAACATATATTTATATGTCCTGTCCTCCATGCCGACCARTATTTGGTGCTGCTCAAGTCTGCACTGGATGCTGYCTCGCTGTGGAGGGCATTATTAGCCAACTGCCCTCGTCTGTAYTTGGTTTCAGATGGGACTTAATATGGCCAACCCTCCGTGAGCATGCACAAACAGAGTGGAGTGTGGGTAGGGGAAGGGATTAGCCACTGATGGYGAAAGATCCATACTTTRATCTACAACTATCAAAATGTTTCATCCAAGTCCCTAATTTAATATAATTTATTTATAATTGGGAAGCATGCAAGAGTAACCTAAAATGTTTTATTATTAACTAAACCACAGAACAGGAGCCTAAAAGGGAAAGAATGGGGGAAGACGCTTTCCTTATAAAGGTTGCTCCTAAATAAACTCCACAGGAGACTCTGGCCAGCTGTCTTACATCTCCAATTAGTTCCCAGTCACCTGAGCCTGAAACACAAGCACACACACACGTTTGTTCTTCTATCTCCATGGGGACTTTGAATTTACTTCCATTTATGTTCCATTTATTCATTTACCCTAAACCTATTCTGACAGGTAAATGAGCCAAAACCTAACCTAAACTTCATTTACATGTTAGTACTAAACCGAAACCCTGACCCATTAGCATATCTCCCAATAAGGGGATCCTTATCCCCGTAAGGAACAATGGGTCCTCACCAGGCTGTGTGMACCAGGAAAATTGTCAAAAATTGTCCCCACCAGGTAGCAAAAACATTTACACAAACACACACACATTGACCCAGGGAGCAGGGACTGGGGTAGTAACAAGAGATTTAAAGATTTAGCAAAAAATAATAAAAAAAAATGTTTGAATTATTGCTTGTTTTCTTTTGCCATTTTATGTATAGTCTGTTTTGATTAAAGGTTTATTTTATATTTAACAAAACAAATTAAAAAGTGTAACGTTTGGCATGCCAAATGAAACCACATGTAAATACCAGCATTGTTTTGTTTGCTTGTTTGTTCGTAGACTCAGTGGATTGCATCAGTTGTCCAGARGATTTCTGGTCCAGTCCACACCATGACCACTGTATTCCTAAGAAAACAGAATTCCTGTCCTATCAGGAACCTTTGGGTGTGTGCTTGACAACAGCTTCATTACTGGGCACATTCATATGCATCGTTGTTTCAGGGATCTTCGTCCATCATCGCAGCACACCCATGGTACGAGCCAACAATTCAGAACTGAGCTTCTTGATTTTGGTGTCACTGAAGTTGTGTTTCCTGTGTTCGCTGCTGTTCATTGGACGACCCAAACTGTGGACATGCCAACTGAGACACGCAGCATTTGGGATCAGTTTTGTACTTTGTGTCTCATGCATCCTGGTGAAAACCGTGGTGGTTCTGGCTGTGTTCAAAGCCTCCAAACAAGGAGGAGGGTTCCACCTTAAGTGGTTTGGTGCTGTACAACAAAGAGGAACAGTTTTAGTTCTTACTTGCATTCAGGCAGCGATCTGCACTATCTGGATTGTTTCAGCTTCACCAGTGCCTCATAAAAACACTAATTACCACAATGACAAGATAATTTATGAGTGCATAGTTGGGTCCACCATTGGTTTTGCAGTGTTACTGGGGTATATTGGCTTTTTGGCTGTCCTTAGCTTCCTGCTTGCATTTCTGGCCAGGAATCTTCCTGACAACTTCAATGAGGCAAAACTCATCACTTTCAGCATGTTGATTTTCTGTTCTGTGTGGGTGGCCTTTGTTCCTGCATATATAAACTCTCCAGGTAAATATGCAGATGCAGTGGAGGTGTTTGCCATCCTGGCTTCCAGTTTTGGCCTCTTGCTGGCACTGTTTGGACCTAAATGTTACATAATCCTCTTGAGACCAGAAAGAAACACAAAGAAAGCAATAATGTCCCGCAATACAATCAAGTAACAGTTAGTGATACACTTCATAATAAAACTAGATACCACATTGTGATAACATAATGACCCCCACTTGCAGAAATGCACCGTAACTCAGAAGTCTTTATTCTTAATAAATGTCACGCTACTAGGTGCATCCCAAAGTTGTAGTGGTTTGGGTGGGGGACTTTTTTTAATTATTTATTTATTTATTTTTTTGGTGGGGGGGGGTGCATTGGTTGACCTGATGGATAGCCCCTCATCAGAGCTAAAAAACAAAATAAATCTGAAGCTCCTATGTTTAATAGTTTTTGCGTTATAATTATTTTAGACGGGGTCCATAGTAAAACTGCTGGTTGGCTGTGCATGTGGGGAAACAGTTCAACAACAATAGGACTCCCGCTACTCATAGCAGGAGCCATATAAACATAGTTGATACTGAATACATGTGTCAAAAAGCTAAAAACAATTTATTTTTTCAAATTTTATAGCTAGGTCAATAAATGAGTTAATATTAGTTATTCAACTTTACAGTGTGTTGTCGTGCTTTCTGAAATTTGTTTTTTTACAACTATCTTCTTGTATTTTAAAGGTTGAATATGAATATTCATGTTTTGCCTCCATGATAACTTAAAAGGCTATTTGATAGAATAGACAGTGACAAATATAATGACATCATGTTGAACATTTAAGTATCATCTAATAAGCAAAACATGTGTTAAACGGAGGAGAACAGGTATGGGGGCTTTCCTGAATGCATGTGTGCTCCTAACTATCTCTCTTGTACTGTGCGTTACGCCGTCTCTTGCGTCATCTTGTAAATTAAGGAAAAAGTTTCATCTAAATGAAATGCACAAGCCTGGTGAAGTGGTTCTGGGTGGGTTGTTTGAGGTCCACTACACCTCTGTTTTCCCTGAATGGACATATACCTCAGAGCCACAGCAACCTACCTGCACAGGGTAAGCATTCTACATATATTTTAAATATAGAATTTTACTATTATAAACTGTTTAATGACATTTCACTAAGCTGCATTTATAATAAACATGACATATAAAGATTCACTTTTTAATAAGGACATTTTGTGTGCCAGTTTCGACACTCTAGGATTCAGGGATGCTATGACCATGGCTTTTGCTATTGATGAGATCAACAAGAAGCCTGATTTTCTACCAAACTTAACTCTTGGATACAGCCTGTATGATAACTGCGGTGCTCTTGTTATTGGATTCAGTGGTGCCTTATCTCTGGCTAGTAGCCAAGAGGAGAAGTTTATGTTTCAGGAGAACTGTTCAGGAACCCCTCCAGTCCTGGGGATAGTTGGTGACTCCTATTCAACTTTTTCTATAGCAATTGCTGATGTGCTAGGTTTAATCAAAATGCCAATTGTAAGTCTAAAAAATTGTTCCTAGTTTGTTTAGAATGCTCATTCATTACATTTTTTTCATTCTGCTTTAAAGTTAAGTGA